AACAACGAAGATTGCAGTGGGCTAGACTTCGGCAAAATGAAGAAGGTGAGGACGAAAACATTTGGCAAAACTGTCTCTTCGTTGACGAATCCCGAATCAGCACTCATCCAGATAACCGACGTGTCCGTGTCTGGAGAAGACCAGGCGACCGTGAAAGACAAAGAACTGCCACTGGAACAGTTCAGCAAGGCGGAAAATCGGTGTCCTTTTGGGGTGGCATTATGATTGGAGCTAGAACGCCTTTGATCCCGTATCGGGGCTTCATGACAGCAGACATGTTCAAAGCAGTTGCTATTGATGATATCGTCAGACCATTCCGAGTAAACCATGGGCACCAATTTGTACTGGTCGATGATAATGCGCCCGCACATCGAGCTCAACGAGTCAATGCTGCTCTTCAAGAATACGATATCACACGATTAGACTGGCCTGCCGGGTCGCCCGACTTAAACCCAATAGAGCACGCGTGGGATGCTCTTAAACGAGCAGTATGGAACCGTGAGCCACGTCCCCAGACAGTTCCAGAGCTCAGGGAAGCCGCTATTGAAGAATGGGATAGGTTACCCCAGGAAATGCTGGATAACTTGATCCTCAGCATGCCCAGGAGGATCTTCGCATGTATTCGAGCCAGGGGAGGAGTTATTTTATATTGAATTCACACCTTTTAATAATAAATTGTTGTTTAAGTTTAATTAAACAGTCTTTTTCTTTCTATGAAATTTCTATCACTATTACATTATCATTAATGGCTCCATTTTTTAAAATAAATAATAAAAAATAGTTTTATATTTTAATTTCAAACAGGGTATTCCTATTTAAAGAAAGCATACAACATAGATTTTTTCTTGATAAAGTTAAATTTAAAAAATTATAGGAGCTTATGCTATTGATCGCAAACTTTTTTTGATGTGTGTACCTTTGAAACAGTGTAATTTAGCGGTTAAATTTTATGACGGCAGTGCAATTAAACCACAGGGTTCAATAGCCGTAGATGTACAATATGGAGTAGTATGCAAGAAATTAGACTTATATGTTATTAATTGCGGTACTACTAGTTTATTGGGTCGTCAGTGGTTATCTGAATTAAATATTACGGTGCCAAAAATAACATCTGAAGATTTAAATAGAACTGAAATTGTAAACATAAATGAAATGAAAAAAAACATTGTTTTCAGATATAAAGATGTATTTGATGAGGGATTGGGGTGTTTCACCGACGAGCGGGCCAGGCTGCGGGTGCGGCCGGATGCGGTGCCGGTGTTCTGCCGGGCGCGGCCGATACCATACGCGCTGCGCGCACGCGTCGACGCCGAGCTCGACGCCATGCTGGCCACCGGCGTCATTGAGCCGGTGGACCACTCCGACTGGGCTACGCCATTGGTAATTGTAAACAAACCGGACGGATCGTTACGATTATGTGCAGATTACAAATCCACTTTGAATCGCGTGTTGTTGGTTGATAAGTTTCCGATTCCTAAAATCGAAGATTTGTTTTCAAAATTGAATGGCAGTAGGTACTTTACTAAACTAGATTTATCGCAGGCTTACAATCAAATATTATTAGAGGAGGACGAATCGATGGCTTTCACGGTTATAAACACTCATCGGGGTTTGTTTAGGTATAAGCGTTTAGTTTATGGATTATCTTCCAGCCCAGGAATCTTCCAAAGAATAATGAATAATTTCTTGATAGACATTCCGAACGTAACATTTTTTTTGGATGATATTTTGGTTACAGGGGACACTTTAAACTCACATTTAGACAGTCTTAATAAAGTCTTGCAGGCTTTAAGCCAACATGGGCTTAAAATAAAAAAACAGAAGTGTTCTTTTTTGGTGAATGTGGTGAAATATCTGGGATTTGTGATTGATAAAAATGGGGTGAGGGTAGATGAGGACAAAGTGAAACCAATTATAGCAATGATGCCACCGAGCTGTGTGTCGGAATTGAAATCGTTTATTGGCATGGTAAACTTTTACGGCAAATTCATTAAAGGTTTGAGCGAGAAATTAGCGCCTCTTTATGAATTATTAAAAAAACATAGGAGGTGGTCTTGGTCGGTTCGGCAGGATAGGGCGTTTAACGAAGTAAAAAGGCTTTTGGTGGAGGCGCCTGTGCTGGCACATTACGACCCGGAGCGGGATTTGGTGCTTACGTGTGACGCGGGCCCGCGCGGGATCGGCGCGGTGCTGGCCACGCGCGGCAACGGCGCCGGCGGCCGAGAGCGCGTGCTCGCTTACGCATCGCGGGCGCTCACGCCGCCCGAAATTAACTATAGCCAAATACACAAGGAGGCTTTAGCGATAATATTTGCGGTGAAAAAATTTCATCAATATATTTACGGTAGACGTTTTGTGCTGCGAACCGACCACAAACCGCTCGTCAGTATTTTTGGACCAGGTCAGGGAATTCCCAGCATGACAGCCAGCCGTATGCAGCGCTGGGCGTTGATATTATCAGCGTACGATTTCGACATTGAATATGTCAAGTCGGATGATAACACAGCGGATGCACTCTCACGATTGATTGCGGCGCATAAGGCTACGGGTTCAGGCCAGGAGGAGTGCCCGGAACAAACATATTTACATTTTGCTACGAACGCCTTACTGCTGGATTATAACAATATTAGGAAGGAAACACATAACGATATTCTGTTAAGTAGGGTGTTAAGCTACATAAGGGACGGCTGGCCTCAAGATATAGAAATTCGGGAATTGAAACCTTTTTATAGTCGGAAGGCGGAACTTTATTTAGAGTTAGATTGCATCATGTGGGGGCACAGAGTGATTATTCCAAGCGCGTGCCGGGAGCGAGTCCTAAAGGAGCTACACGATTCCCACATGGGCATGGTGAAGACGAAGGCGTTGGCGCGCAGCTATGTATGGTGGCCCGGCCTGGACGAGGCGGTGGAGAGGGTGTGCCGCGCCTGCGAAGTGTGCGCCGCAGTGGCCGCCGCACCGCCGCGCCACGTGCCCTGCCCGTGGCCATATCCTAGTCGTCCTTGGTCTAGAGTACATGTCGATTTTTTGGGGCCTATTTCGGGAACAAAATATCTAGTACTTGTTGACGCTTACTCCAAATGGATAGAGGTGACGAGCATGTCTACCACTACAGCTAAAGCTGTCCTGAGTAAGCTGAGAGAACATTTTGCGAGGTTCGGTTTACCCAAGCAGATCGTTAGTGATAACGGTCCGCCGTTTGCGAGTGAGGAGTTGCAGGCATTTTGTAAACAAAATGGTATTGAACAACTATTTTCGGCACCTTATCACCCCGCCTCTAATGGCCTTGCTGAAAATGCAGTGAAGCTGTGCAAGAGGGTTATTAAGAAAGCTATAGTTCAAGTTGTCAACGTAGACGCTGCCCTAAGCAGATTCCTACTTGTGTATCGCAACACTCCTCACAACACTACAGGGGATAGTCCGGCCCAGGTATTATTAGGTAGGCCGGTACGTACCCGACTCGATTGTCTTAAGCCAGACCGAGAAAAACGGGTAAATTCTTTCCAACGACAGCATCAAGCTACTGCAGACGGAAAACCTCGATCGTTTAATGTAGACGAACTAGTTTGGTTTAAATTATTTAACACCTCAGGTCCTAATACTTGGGGGAAAGGAAAAGTGTTGGAACGAATGGGGGAGACTGATTATAGGATAGAAACTTTAACAGGTATAATGCATCGGCATATAGATCAATTAAGGAAACGTGATTCAAGTGGTGAGGGAATTGCACAACGTAAGAATACGCGTATTTATCCACCGAGTTGTTTACCCGTAGCAGAAGCTACAGAGCATGCGTCGAGCTCGAGGTCGGGGGAGAGGGAAGGCACTAGCGACGACAACATCGCGCGCCCGGCGCCGGATCCGAACCAACCCGCGGAGCAGGCGCAGCCTGGCTCGCCCGCCACTGAACGCGTGCGGCCCGAGCCATTACGGCCAGTTGTAAGGCCACCCGTTCGCTATGGTTGGGATGTTTAAAATTAATTGTTTCTAGTATTAGTTTAGAATAAGGGTGAAGGTGTTATGTATAAGTGGGTATTTGCCGAAAACACAATCTGTGGTTTGGCCTTTTTCTGTACCGCAGTTCAAAAATAAACGTACTACGATTAACACCGTGTTCATTATTTATCAGCTCTGAGGAGCACTGCCACTGCGAAAGTCACCATGAGACATAAGTTAACAAGTTCCACATGCCTATAGTTTCACCAGCACCGTTACTCTTCAAAACAGAAACGCAGTAATGCTTACATTACTGCTTCACGGCAGAAATAAGTAAAGTGGCAGTACTTCCCAGGACGAATTCATTCATAAGGAACTCTACTGCTACTAGGTATAGGACATATTTTTTTACATAAATAACAAATGACAGAAATGCATAAATCCATAATACCCATTAAACTCATGAACATGTCATTACTTATAACAATCACTTAACGGACATATCCTATAGGCGGGCATTAATTAAATGTACCGTGTAAATGCAGTACCGTGTTCCATCTGGCAGACATTTCGCAATCCGATTAACCTGTTTACCTAATCTTGTATACCTGCGGTTATTTATTAATTAGAGAAATGTACAATGTTGCTAGTTTCTGCTGTTATTGGATTTTACAATGCAAGCTCTATTTTGATTGGTTATGGTTTCGTTATGATCATTGGATTAAATAAATTAATGTATTAACATTTTGGAATTGATTTGGCCACTAACCATTATTATGAGTATTTTCAATAGATTTTAAAAAGAACACTAATAGCGTTTTTCAGTTTATTTATAATTTCATTTTATTTATATTTTCATGTTCTAATCGTTACAGAAACTAATCAGATGGTGAATTGATTACTTTCTTGGCATTGGCATTTCATTTAAAAACTGAAATTCGTTAACTTCAAAGTTGAAATTCCCAGTCGATATCTCAAAATACCAAAATACATAAGATCAAAGATCGCCGAGTCGATTGTAAGTCAAAAGTTATCTTCGTCGTGGAAATTTAGACTAACTTGAGAGAAATTTTGAAAAATATGATATAACGGAGCGAGAGGGCGGAGGGTCGGAAACAACTTTGAAGAGGAATCGGCCCCTGGGGTGTTATGATGAATCTTTCACACGCTTTATCGCTTTGCACGGGAATCGAACCTAAGAGCGATTTACACTCCCCGCCCTGGTCAGGCTTGAGGTTACATAAAATATGGAGGATTATTTATTAAGATTATGGAGCGGTTTTAAATTGACGCGCGTTGATTGAGATTGAAGAAGGTTTTTTGGTACGTGTAGACACATTTACTTCGCGCTCTTTTCCCATCGGGGTAGGTAGAGATCACAGCCATCCAGTTGCGACGATCTTAATAATAATAATATGTCTTTAATCAAAAACACACCTTAGCGTTATATATAGTACAGAGAAGGAATTTATTGATTAGAAAAGTAAACAACATAAAATAACACAAACAGGTAGAACAGGCGTAACAATTCTAAGGACTCTGGCTCCTAAACTAGACAAATGCTGGGTCTTAGGAGCCAGTGTTCAGTTAATCGCCCCTAAAAGTACGTGCCTGTATTAAAAACCAAAACAAAGTATAAAAATGAGTCTGAGCGATCGTGGATATACATTTTTAGTGATAGTTATGAGGTAAAAGATCAAAAGAATAGGTATAAGTAAGTTTGTGTAGATTTGTGCGCGCGCGCGCGCGTGAGTGTGTGAGTGTGTGTGTGTATGTATAAAATCCGTAAGTGATTACGAAAGTAATCGTATTTTAAGTAGTTCCTCTGAAGCGGCGTAGTCGAGAGTCTTCAGTCAATTTTGCAATTTAGACTTCTGTTCGTAACTGGATAAGCCAACAAAATTATAAATTCTGTTTAATTTATTGTATAGAACCGTGCTTAAATCATAAAACTGTCTACTTGCAAAGGTGGTCGAATGCTGTTCACTTGGACACACCAGTCACACACGACGGTTTGGTTGTACGGGAGGTACCGAACGGTGTTGTTTCAATATGGCCCTGAGCACAAAAAGCTGTCTCACTGAAAGGAATTCTTAACACACATCTTTATTTTTTGAGACAACAATTTCAAAACGGTAGTTTTTGTTTTTAGATACTTGCAGTTTTTGTATGTGTAATATGAATATAAGTTGGAATATTGAATGCGTAGAGGGTAAATTTCAGCAGTACCCATTAAATACGATCACGCCTGTGCCTCACAAGGCGTAGGAAGATACTACGGACTTCCATACGCTTCTGTCGTATATCTTTCACTTTCTTAATCCCATCAATCTATTCATATACGTCTAATTATTCTTGTTATTTTTGATCGGATTCTTCAAAAGATATCCTCAGAAATAAGAGATTTTCATGGTGTCGCTATCTGTGAGATCCCGGGTTCGATCCCCGGCCGGGTCAATGTACAAACCAATTTTTCTATGTTTTTGAGTGTTTGTAGTACCGTTGGCGTTTCCGATTTATATAACACAGTTACTTTGGAATTAGAGCAACGTATGTGATGTTGTCTAACATTATTATATTATAATACAGATGCGTTTATAAATTATTTCACGCAAATGTAACTTTAGCTAGTAATTCTTTCGTTCAGCGCAAATATAATAGCTATATTATGATAATTATTTTATGTCGGGGGTTTTTAATTTTATAATTTCATTGTCATTGTTCATTGTATTGTTCAGTGACATACCCAGTGAGTCTTGTTCAGAGAACTTTGGTTACAATGGTTTATTAGCATTTGAATGTAGTACTATGCGTTCATTAAAATATATTAGAGGCTCAGCGGTTGACACACTGGGCGCTAGATTACAAGGTCCCGAGTTTTATTCCCGGTAGTATAATTTTTTTTAAAAAAAGGTTATTATATAAATGTTAATTAAATCTTTATTGAGATAAGATTATCGCATGGTATCTTAAAATTATGTACATACATACGTAAGCGCACGCCCTTGTCCCACAGGAGGGGTAGGCAGAGACCACGGAACGCCACCTTACTCTATTCTGAAACTTTCTAGCCTCACATACATCAACTACCCTTTTCGTACAACTCCTTTTATTCTTGTCACTTCGAATTCCAGCCATTTTCGAGGACATCACCGATCTGGTCGATGTAAGTCCTTCTGAGTCCTCTTAAAACCCTTCCATCCACATTCGCGTCATAAACGAAAGTTACGTGACATTATTATACGAGGTACGTTCTAAGATAAGTTGTTGAGTTTTAAAAGCTGTATGACAGACGCTCCGTCTTCCACTGGATTTAATTTACAAATATTATAATGGCAAACATTGTACATGATAAAAGAATACAATCGAAAATATGACAGAGAAATAAGAACAAAAATTTTTAGACTGTTGTGTGTGTGTGTGTGTGTGAGTGTGTGAAATTGATTTCTTGGTGTTCTGGATAGTGGATTTCGATTTAGAAGAGTGGATTTTGCCACATTGAAATTCATAGTACAGAGTACGAAACGTATTTAATTAAAGTTCAATCCGAGAAACTGGTTTGACCGACATGGAGTGTACCGCAGGTCAGAAGTTACAGAAGGCCGCATTAGAAGCAGTTACGAAGCAATGTTTGTACTTCACAACTTTGCGATGTTGTGATTTCGATGTAAAGGCGAGATTAATTGAATCCGCGAGCACACATTAGTTTTAATGTCAATACTATAGTTTCGGACTAGGTTCGTAGATTGGCGATTCACCTTTTCGATAATTAAATTGTATAGGAAATGAAACTGTTTTTTTCGGATGTAAGTCGCACTTGCTTTTTCAAACAAACCACGTTTCGGGCCCTTTACAGGTCCTATGGTCACGGGTGACTGAGACGGTAAAGTCACCAACCAGTTAAGTCTAATATTAATGTAAACTATCTTATTTTTCTCTACTGTTACAAAAGTTATTGATTAAATACCTTACTTTTAAATTTTCAAAGAACACTTCCTACATATATTTTACAAATGATTTTAGTTTAACGCTACGATTAGTGACGCGTCATACGATGCTGAAGAGTGAGAGATGTTTGCTATCTATTGTGATTAAAGGATCACAGAGGACACGAATAGTGCGCCATTGAGTCGAGGGCCTTTTCATGCACATCATATGCGATAAGAATTCGTACAATCAAAGTCAAATAATCTTTATTTCATAGGTAAATTACACTTGAAATCGCCATATTGATTAAACTCTACTGCTCATTCGTAAGGCAGATTCCCCTGAGAACAATTAGTAGGAAACTCTAGGGGTTGCTCTTTGTAAATAAATATTTGTTTACATTTATCACTTACAATATTTATTTCAAACATAGATCGAAACAACCTGCAAGAGCTAAACAGGTCGCTACTACTGAATTTGTCATACAAGCACGCAGAAGCTGTATGATAGATAAACCTTTAGCATTGACTTACAAATAAATGGACGACGGGTCTAATACAAAAACCACGAAAAAAATGTCCCAAGTCAACCTATTTAAACGTAGTGACATGTTAAGGAATATGAAAAAGCTAAAACGTTGAATTTAAATTGTAATGTCATCGCAGTACTGTCTAATTTTGCTTGCTTCGCTGTCAGTCGAACAAACGAAGACTAGAGCGTGAATGACGCTGTGTATACGATTTTAACGCCCTATAAGTTCGGACACTTTTTAGCGCAGACCCGACGTCTATATAATTGTAAGTCAATGACCTTTAGTACAAAACGTCCAGTCCCTATTGATGTCCATAACGAATTTTAGGCTATCGCGATTGTTACGCTATTTAGGAAATTAAACTATTTCATTTTAAAATATTTCGAATCTAAATTGCGTGTTCAAACCAATGTTTCGGGTCCTTTTCAAATCCCGTGGTCACAGTTGACTATTAATAATAGTGCAAAAATTAGATTTAGCCGCCAGTCCCAAGTAGAATGTGTAGAGCATCTCGACGAGTTTGTTACATCAAAGACGATGTATATATAGGTTATAGAAGTAGTGTCAGTAGTTGTTAAAA